ATTGTTGTTTGGCGGGTCCGGGCTGGGGATTCGAACCCGCCACCTTAGGTGTACATGGCTGGCGCCTTAGCCGGTTGAGCTATAGGCACCGAGCCTGTTTTGCCTATTTCTATGCTAGCCTGTGAGTTCCATAAACACAGAGATGTGTCTGTCCCAGTCTGGTGCTCAGTAATTATTTGTTGCCTCAATCATTGCGGGCATAGAAGCTGACAGAGCGTGGCTACTGATGTAACTAACACCCCCAAGGAAAAATGTGCCCTTCACTCACTCACTCACTCACTGACCTCCCAGTTCCGCAGGCTCCCGAAACTGGTCCCATTTCTTGCCAGGGCACAGAAATGACCTGGACTTGGGCCCCGCCCCCCCTTGCCCATAAGGGGCAAATAAGGGGCTCTCAGAGTTGGGTGTGGCCAGCTCCTCCCTAAGGGAATCAAGGAAAGGTCTCCTGGAGGATGAGGACCTTGAGGGACAAGCAGATGAACTGAAGTTCCCTGGGTGGGAAAGGGGAAGGCATTCCAGGAAGGTGGTAGCAAAGGTATGGACATGGGGCAGTGAACAAGCATAGAAGGAACATAGACCCAGGGCATCTGGACCACTGTGAAGACTTTGGAGGCAACAAAAACTTCTTAGAGGAGAAAAGATGAAGCTAGAGGGGTGGGGCAGGTGAGGTTGGAACCTGAACCTGAGAAGCTAGGACTTGGTCCTGGAAGCATCAGGAACCATAGGGGGCTGTGGGGTGAGACCCTTTTGGGTTTTTTGGCTGGGGCTGGGTTTGAACCTGCCACCTCCAGCATGTGGGGCTGGCACCCTACTCTTTTGAGCCACAGGTGCCACCCGTGAGACCCTTTTTGTGCCAGACTGGGGAGACTGAGACTGGGCGTCCAGAGAGGAGGCTGAGGTGAGGGTCGGGAGGAGACAAGGTGGCCTGAGGTGGGGAAGGACAGAGAGATGGGAGCAGGGCTGGGGACCCAGGGCAGTGGAGAGAGGGATGAGAAAGCCCCTGGGGGTCTGCCCATGACTGAGGCATGCTAAGGCACCCAAGTGAATGAGCAGGTTTAGGAGAAGATGTAAGCTCAGTGGAGCTGGAAGGGCCCAGGGGATGGGCCTAAGTCTGGGTCTCAGGAGACAGATTTAGGAGACATCAGCCTGTAGGTAGAAAGGTGAGGTTGTGGCTCGGCGCCTATAGCTC